TCTCTCTCTCTCTCTCTGTTTGTGTGTGTGTGTGTGTGTGTGTGTGTGTGTGTGTATGCGTGCATATATCTGGCATGCATATATATATAAATTTCCTACTTAGGCTGATAATGACCAAGATCCCTAGACAATTAAAAAAAACAGGCATGAAAAGTTCCCTTTATATAATAAGCTATTGTTGCCCTTGGTTGCCACCCAGGGGTAGAAGAAGGTAAGTCCCTATTGCATGTTGTGTATGGACCTAGAGGACTCAATTTCAAAATACCAGAAGGCTCCATATAAGCTTCCAAATTAGGAAAGTAATCAATAATCATTTTCAATTATAATGCCTATGAACCAGAGCAATGGCCAGCATGCATGCTAACCCGAGGAGTGCAATAATGACATACATACTTTGTCAGTAACCAATAGCTCTCTGGTTGAACTTAAAGCCCATTCAACAAAAAGTAAATTATGCCTAGTACTGGAAATAGCAGAAAGGGAAAGAAAATTGAGGAAGGGTACTGGCTATTGTCAAAATATATGATATACTTGAAAAAAATGCTTTGATGATACTTGCATACAATGAATATACTTCAATCAAGAATTTTAAGAGGCAGCAGTATTGCTCAGAAGGCAATTCAATTACCATCAAACCAGATGTCAGACCTGAGTTTAATCAGACCTCACATGACAGTGAGGACAACTCAATGTTGTCCTCTGAGCTCTACAAACATGCCATGTACCTACATACACACACACACACACACACACACACACACACACACACATGCACATACACACACAAAAAGATAATTACAAAACTAAAATGTAATAAAATTTTTAAAAAATATGAAAAAAAGAAAAAAGAACACTTGTGAGAAAGTGAGGAAGCGAACAGGCCATCCTACCAGAAATCCAGGCAGGCTGTTCATGAACCTTTTCCACTATCATTCCCCTCACCCCCCACCCCACCCCCAGACCAATTCTCAAGGTTACCACTAACTGCAACAGGACACCAGATGCTGCCTCCCCTCCTCATTGTTCACATTTGCTGTGGATCCCACAAAAAAATACCCCTGGCCTCCCCTCCCTACTCATCAATATGTCCTAGTCCCCAGTTCAAATGGATTCTCCCTGCTCAACCACAGACCATTTCTGCCAGAAGACCAGGTAGGCAGCCTTCAGACCTTCTCCACTCTCTGTTCCCCCAGGCCCAATTCTCAGAGTCACCCCTAGCACTGCAACAGACCATGAGCTGCAGCCCTCTCACCCTACCTCTCTACCTCCAGTCCATGCCTCCTGTGTATCCCATAAACCATCACCCTCTGTCTCCCCTCCCACCCTTGTGGCTCTGGGACAGCCCCCAAATTGGACAGAAAACCCCTGCTCAACAACAGGCCAAGCTGGCCAAATAAGCAGGTAGGCTGCCTGTGGACATACTCCACTCTCTCTTTCCCCTAGACCCAATTCTCAGGGTTGCCCCTAGCACTACAACAGACTACATGTCCCCCTGACCTCTTGCCCCTATTTCCAACATCAGCAAATACTTCCCTGCACACACCAGCAAAGTGTCCACTGAAACAGGCAACAACCTCTCTGAAAAATCTGGACAGGAATTAGAAACCAAGGAGCATTTTTAAAAAAATATATCAAACAAAGAAAAACAGAGAAATCAGTAGCTTGATCTATAGTCCCCAAAACCCAGATGCCTGGACACTATCATAAGAATGTAATCAATAGCATCCAGGGCAATATGTACCATCAGAACCCAGATATCTGACCATACGCCATGAATATTCCAACATAGCTGAAGCACACACACAAACCTAAAACCAATGATATGAAGATGATAAAGAAAATTTACAAAGCAGGGGCCCTCCACAGTCTCCGTGTCTTTTTGGCTAATTGCCACGTATAGTTGTTAGAAGATGTTTTATTTTATTTCTTTTTTTGGGTTTTTTTTTAATCACTGAATTTTTCTATCCTCTTTGCATTAAAATGACAGAGCTAGAAGCTGTATTGTTTTAGGGGGAATGTTAGTGCCTCTACCCAGTAATTTATTTCAGATTTGTTTTGGTTCTATGTTCAGCATAAGGTGGACCAAATATAAATGCCAAATGTAAAAGGATTATGATAATCTCTATTAGTTGTTAACATGTCCTGGTCAGCACCCTAATAACCGATGCAGAGTCTATGGATTATTTAATCAGCTCTTGAACAATTACTAAGAATTATCCCTGTGGTGGTTTAAGTATGCTTGGCTAAGGGAGTGTGCCACTATTTGGAGGTGTGGCCTTGTTGGAGTAGAAGTGGCCTTGTTAGATAATGTTCGTCACTGTGGACATGGGATTTAAGACTCATCATTGCTGCCTGAGGAGGCTAGTCTTCTTCTCTTTGCCTTCAGAACAAAATGTTGAACTCTCAGGTGCTCATAAGCTATGCCTGCCTGGATGCTGCCATGCTCTCAGCTTGATGATAATGGACTAAACTTGTAAGCCAGCCCCAATTAAATGTTGTCCTTATAAGAGTTGCCTTGGCAACTGATCCTGAAATCCTGGTGTGACCAAACTCCTAAGATCCTGTGATTTTTTTGATCCTATGTTTCTGGGTGTGTTAGAGCTCCTGGGAGTCCAACCTCCACTGCGTTTTGTGGGATTGGGTGCAGAGCTGATGCTCAGGATCTGCTTAGAGTACTGGTGCATACCAGAATGAAGACACACACTTAATAATTGAGCTAGGGATTTTTTAAGTTTTTTTGAGAACAAAGGCAGCTCAACCAGGACTGGCTGATATAACTCTCTTGCCAAAGCTGGGCAAGTTTTTAAGGTAATGATTCATTTCTTGTACCCATCTTTGCCCCAAGCTTCCTGAGGTGATTTAATTTTAAAAAAAAATTGTTAATGAGTACATGTACACCTTGAGGATTTAAAGTAGAAATGACTGCTTATTTTTAAATTTAACTTTATTTTTTAAATTATTCACTTTACATTCCACTCACTTCCCCCTCCCAGTAACCCCCTCCTACATTCCTTCCCCCATCCTCCATCTCCTTCTTCTCTGAGAATGTTTCTCCCCAACCCTGGCACTTCAAGTCTCTGTGATGCTATGTGCTTCTTCTCCCACTAAGGCCAGCTAAAGTAGTCCAGCTAGTAGAACGTATCCCACATATAGGCAACAGCATTTTGAATAGCCCTAGTTCTAGTTGTTTAGGAGCCATATGAAGGTCAAACTGCACATCTGCTACATACGAGTGGGGTAGCCTCAGCCTAATCTGTGTATGTTCTTTGGTTGGTGGTTCAGACTACGAGAGACTCAAAGATCTAGGTTAGTCAACTCTGTTAGTGTTCTGGTGGAGTTCCTATCCTCTTCAGGGCCACACTCCTTTCTCTTATTCTTCCATAAAACCCATCCCACAGGCAAGCACCAATCCCTAACACTATTAATGATACTCTGTTACACTTGTAGACAGGAGTATGTTGTTCTCTGAGAGGCTCCACCTATTAGCTTACTCAGACAGATACAAAATGATTGCTTTTTATATAAAAGTTAAGATTTATAATTCTTTTAAAATTTTTGTAAGATTACACACACACACACACATACAGACACACACACACATACAGACACACACACACACACACACACGCACACACACACACACACACACACTTTGTGGATGAAGTAAGCTTCAACAAACTCCAACAGCTTTGTTTATTTTCTCCTGTAGCTGATATATCTCAGCAAAATCTACATATGAGTGTGGAGGCAAGCTGCTGGTGCCCTGAGCAGTCCTTGATCATCAGCTCTGCACATAATCCCACAAAACCCAGAGGAAGTTGGACTCCCAGGAGCTCTAACACACCCAGGAACATAGGATCATAGGGTCACAGGATCTCAG